GCAATGATCGCTTGTGGAAGATGGTGCCGTGTTTTCATATTCCTTTTATTCATCCTTTTCCTAGACTGAGAAAAGCTAAAGGGCCCAGTCGACCATACTATTTAACCCATATTTGGGCGAAAGTGAGCGCAACAATCTAGACCTAAATGCGAATTCGTCTCCCCTATTCCACTTTATGCAACGGCAACTATTACTCCATCCGCGCGTCCAAGTATATTTTCCTAAGCCTAAAAAGTTATATTTGACACTATCATATTCTGGCTTATTTTCAACCAACGATAACGAAGCCATATCCAGTTTAAACAAGAATATTTACTGTCCTTGCCACTCAACACTGGCTACGTATTACCCTGTTCGCGAATGATTAATTCCCGTTATAATAATTGTCTCCATTGGATGCCATTATATTTGATGGCGTCATAGTGACTCCCACATCTCTAAGTGACGGATTAACTGGCTTATGAACAAACACTCGACTTTATATTTACTATGACCTTCGACTGATGTTATTTTTAATACCATCATATTTAGTTACATTTTTCCCTTGACAGAAACTACGTATTATCATGTGACCGACTTAGTCATTATATTCGCATGTACTCATCTCATTCAAAGACGTTATATTCGAGAATATGTCTACAGCCAACTAGCAACAAAAACAACAGGCATATTATCCTAGGTACTGAACTTTACTTAGAAATTAACAGGCCAGTAATATGTTAACTGAAATAACGACATTCGAATATTAAGTCTCACTTCTTCCGTTTGCCGAATTTTGTCATACCTTTCGTTTTTTCATCAGAAAAGCGAGGAAAAAGTCACTGTTTCATTCGTAAGAATAAACAACTTAATTATCAAATGCTTATATGATTTTTTCGAAAATTCCAACAATAAAAATAAATAGAAACTGATAAAGGACATATAAAAAAAATCTACATATTTCATTCTGATTGATTAATGTTATAGGCTCGTTGTGTCAAGATTATGGATATTAATTTTGATTTAAATAACACTTTTATCTATCTATCTATCTATCTATCTATCTATCTATCTATATATATATATATATATATATATATATATATATATATATATATAATCATGTATATTTGGGCAGCAAACTTTTTTTCAAATATGTTTTGAAGAATATGAAAGAATATATTTATAATATTGTTGTTACCTAGTGAAGGTTACTGAATAGAATAATCACAATGATTTGATAATGAACGATATACTTAGGATATGAACAACGCATATAAGATTCGCCAGCGGCGCGTAGAAGAAGTAGTCAGCTGCTAGAAGTTTTTAGAAATATACCAAAAATAGATATGATTTCACAATTTAAAATACTATTAGGGATGACTTGTAATTGGATGCATGAGTCCCAGTATAAATAATCACTGACTGATTTTATCATTGTGATATTTTGCATTATATCAAGTATTAAGATAATAGTAACTGGGTCTGCAATTTGGAGGAGAGAGTTATCAATAATAATATTCTAGCTTTGTATCCGCGGTTAAATCCCTTTAACCCTGTCTCTGAACTTTCTTTGTCGGAGGGATACATGCGCTTTTTTCATCAGGACTTCCCTTTGTTTCGACGCGAGCAAATTTTAATTTCGAAAATGCGCCCCCCAGAGAAAAAAAAATAGGAACCACTGCTTCAGAAAGAACCTTCTTCCATGATTTATTTTTGAAAGAGTCAGACCGGACAAGCGGTATCATTTCTTCGATATCTATCCCGAATCTACTCAATCCTTACTTTTTAGCTTCGAAAGGGTCTGGAATCTTTCGCGAGGCCTTGTGTAGAATTATATTTTCCCCCGGCAGCCACTGTCTACACATACGAGAGACACTGATATTATTTGAGGCCCGATTATGCACCTGGCGTCTATGAGGATACATTCTAAGTCAACACTGTTCTTCTGATTTTCTGCCGTGAAACCCCTGATAACGGCCAGAGGGCATAACAGCCTAAACTTTGTGATGACAACAAGTGATGAGGGTAAGAGTCAGCATGTAAATAGTGTAAGTAATAATAACTCCTCATCCTAGAAATTCAAACAGAAAGTATAATTTTCGTTTCTCACATGTGACTCGTTAGTCACATGTTCAGTCTATGGTATTCTTCTGTACAACCACATCTCATTTACCTCAAGGTCTTCTTTATCTGTAAAAAAATAGTTTTGGTTGGTAGTCTACTTAGCGGCAAATTAACCACTACGTGCTATTTAATACCCAAATCTAAAGTACGCTATTCTGTTTTATATTTTTTAGAGATAATAATGGATACTCATACAGTTCGTACACCCATAGTTGGTCTAGAGAAATGGAGTCATAGCTTTCCCAAATGTATTTGCGCTTAAGGTAATACAAAGAACCCAACGGGGACTAGAACTCGGATCTCCGATTAACAATCTCAAGCCATTATCCTGCACGTTTAATCTTACAACACCTGGTTTAACCAAGTGGTCACCCATCTAGATACTGACCAGGTT